TGTGAAGTCTATTGTGTCTATGTGTTTCAAGCTGTGAAATCTATTGTGTCTGTTTCACGCTGTGAAATCTATTGTGTCTACCTCAAGCTGTTAAGTTTGGGAACAGGGCATTACCCCCCCCCCGTCAATTACCCCCGGACATTTCCCTCCCCCGTCATTACCCCCCTCCCGGAGTAATTACCCCTGTCAATTACCCCCTAGCTATGGCTAGGGTTAGGGTTAGGGTTGGGATTAGGGTTATGGTTATGGTTATGGTTAGGGTTAGGGTTAGGGTTAAGGTTAGTGTTAGTGTTAGGGTTAGGGTTAGGGTTAGGGTTAGGGTTAGGGGTAGGGGTAGGGGTAGGGGTAGGGCTACGGCTAGGGCTAGGGTTAGGGTTGGGGTTAGGGTTAGGGTTAGGCTCAGGGTCAAGGTAAAGCTTAAATCAACTTCTAGAGTTGGGTTTGTTTTTGAGTTAATTTTAGGGTGAGGTGATTCTTAGGTTTTTCGTCTTTGGCTTAAGGTTAGGATTAAGGTATAGAGTTGTAGTTAGAATCAGGATTCTATCTTGGTGGATGGTTAGGTTAGGTTTGCCTGTCGTCCCTACTGGGACATAGGCCGCTGACAAGAACTTTCCAGACGTCTCTGTCCAGGGCTAGTCTCTCCAACTGTCCCCAGGTGTATCCAATCTTCTTGGTGGATGGAGGATGGTTATTCCCCAGTGGGTAAATGACAGGGGAAATTGCGCCGGGAGGTAAATGTCCAGGGAGGGGGGGTAAATGTCCGTGGGGGTAATGTCCTATATCCGTTAAGACTATTGTGTCTGTCTCAAGCTGTAAAATCTATTGTGTCTGTCTCAAGCTGTAAAATCTATTGTGTCTGTCTCAAGCTGAAAAATCTATTGTGTCTGTCTCAAGCTGTAAAATCTATTGTGTCTGTCTCAAGCTGTAAAATCTATTGTGTCTGTCTCAAGTTGTAAAATCTATTGTGTCTGTCTCAAGCTGTGAAATCTATTGTGTCTGTCTCAAGCTGTAAAATATATTGTGTCTGTCTCAAGCTGTAAAATCTATTGTGTCTGTCTCAAGCTGTAAAATCTATTGTGTCTGTCTCAAGCTGTGAAATCTATTGTGTCTGTCTCAAGCTGTAAAATCTATTGTGTCTGTCTCAAGCTGTAAAATCTATTGTGTCTGTCTCAAGCTGTAAAATCTATTGTGTCTGTCTCAAGCTGTGAAATCTTTTGCGTCTGTCTCAAGCTGTAAAATCTATTGTGTCTGTCTCAAGCTGTAAAATCTATTGTGTCTGTCTCAAGCTGTGAAATCTTTTGCGTCTGTCTCAAGCTGTGAAATCTATTGTGTCTGTCTCAAGCTGTGAAATCTTTTGCGTCTGTCTCAAGCTGTGAAATCTTTTGCGTCTGTTTCACACTGTGAAGTCTTTAGACACTTTTATGTCTCTCAAGCTGCGGTCTATTGTGTGTGTTTCAAACTTTGAAGTCTAGTTAGCTAATTGGTCTCAGGAATTAAACCTAATTGTTCATCTCCTCAACTCGTTTTATATGGGTCGTGTGAAACACGGGGTCATGATGTCATATGGACACTGGGGTCATGAGTTCATAATAACACTGGGGTCATGAGGTCATAATGACACTGGGGTCATGAGGTCATATGGACACTGGGGTCATGAGGTCATATGGACACCAGGGTCATGATGTCATACGGAATGACAGTAATCATCCAATGGACACTGGGATCGTGCAGTCTAAGGAGACTGTAAGATAGTGGTGGAGAGGACATAGAAACATATGTTTGTATACTGAGATGGTCAGGGACCCCAGTTACGATGTGCACAGCGCCGAAATGTCACGTTCACACACACACACACACACACACACAAAGCCACACACCACCACCACTACCACCACCACCACCACCACCACCATCGATCGCCCTCGATTCAACTCCCTGTGTCACTAATGAAAAGCACACACCAATTTCCTCAGATCGATGCGGCACAATTTGTTTCGTTGGGTTCGATAGTTTGATTTTTTTATTGCAAAGAACGGCAATAAAGGAGAATTTGCTGTATACCCAATGAGTTGCAATGATTTGCTGAGAGTGTCTGTTGTAATATAGCCTGCCAATATTTTAAAGAGATGATTGATTTAGCGGAAGTTAATTTTTTGCGAAGGTCGAAATCTGACCTTGGATGTGTTTGTTGAAGCGATCAATGAACATTTTACTCGTGTGTGCTCATGCAGACACGTTTTCGCGTGTTCAACCTAGTGTGATGTCATGTATTAGATGTAATAATTAATTTATAATTATATTATACAACATCGGGGTATGTAGGATTCCTGCATTCGTGGTTTTTTGTTGCTTTATTTAGGGGTCTTTTGAAGCTGAAAAGCGAATTGGGCGTAGGGTGCTAAAATGTTTTGGTTTTTTTTATACTTTCTCGTATTCTGAGTACAGAGAAATTATTGTAATCGTACAGAAAAGGAAAATGAAATTTTAATAGTTTTCGCCGTTTTACACCTCCCCACACTTTCGTATACGGAATATAAAGGATGTATTGTAACCTTGCGAAATAATCTAAATTAAGATTTTGACAAGTTGTTTTGTTGTACATCCTCCGGATCCGGAAAAACTTAGTTTTGCAGTTTTGTCAGTGTGTATGTGTGTCAGTAAATAAGATAGCTTAAATACCGTTTCAGTTATGTTGATGAAATTTCATATTATATTAAATTTGTAATTTTGTGTCAACTTTTAAGCGATTTCTGGTAATCAAAAGTAGTACTTGCTTTAATTATGATTTTTCAAAAGCTGATAACTTAAGTACCATTTAAGTTAGTTGAACGAAATTTCACATATAAGTATTACATTGTAAGTGCAGGTTTCAGTTAATTTTTTAAAGATTTCCGGTAATCGAAAATGGTACTTCGCTCCTTTTCCGTGGACACAATAACTTGGGAACTGTTTCAGTTGCCGGCTGTTTTCCTGCTATACTACTGTGCTGTTATTGACGGAGTATTTTGGTTGATATTGTCAATTAAGTTTTTCAACAACATTTTACCATATTATAAAGCATTTCAATACTGACTTCCATATACCTCTGTATACCTCATATACAATTTAAACGTCATGACATCTGTACAGCCATGCTGGTTATATGACATATATACAGCAATGCTGGTCATATGACATCTATACAGCCATGCTGGTCATATGACATCTATACAGCCATGCTGGTCATATGACATCTATACAGCCATGCTGGTCATATGACATCTATACAGCCATGCTGGTCATATGACATCTATACAGCCATGCTGGTCATATGACATCTATACAGCCATGCTGGTCATATGACATCTATACAGCCCTGATGGTCATATGACATCTATACAGCCATGCTGGTCATATGACATCTATACAGCCCTGCGGGTAAAATGACATCTATACAGCCCTGTTGGTCATATGACATCTATACAGCCCTGCGGGTAAAATGACATCTATACAGCCATGCTGGTCATATGACATCTATACAGCCATGCTGGTTATATGACATCTCTACAGCCATGCTGGTTATACGACATTTCTACAGCCATGCTGGTCTAATGACATCTATACAGCCCTGTTGGTCATATGACATCTATACAGCCCTGTTGGTCATATGACATCTGTACAGCCCTTCTGGTCACAGCCTTGTTTGTCACATGACACAGGAAGACCTTCCATGCACTTCTTTTTGTTCTTTGACATGTTAACAATACATAACCCTAATGCATCTTGTTAAATAAATAAAAAAAACTGTGCGTGAAAAGCGATCGTTAGCCTGAAAATGTTATTCCATAAAAACCGTTTCCATTTTCTGCTTCTATTTCCGGTGCTAAAAAATGTTCTTTTACATGTGGATTTTTTGTATGTATAAAATTTCGTTTATAAAACCGGTGCATTATGGAGGTTGTCTGTGCATGACGCCACACGATTCTTCGTACTTATTTTTACCTACATGTGTTATATTTAAACGTCAGCACACACAATAAATAAACCCTCGCTCCTTTAAAAATGATGTCACAGCTCTGACCAACCCCTGTCCCTCTAAATTATTTTAATAAAAGCAAAATTGAACTTATTTTTAAAATTTTTATTTACTTAGAAAGCAAACAGATAAATGTTGCCCCCCCCCCCCCCCCCAATTAACTTATAATCTGATTTTTTTTGCTATGTTAAATATGGACGTATTTTATGAAATACAACGTGTGCAAAGATTTAACACACAAACCCATCCGTAACAAATATGTTCCATGCCTTTACAACACCAGTAACATGCAACAAAAGTATTGACTCGTAAACCAGTCCTACTAAGTTTTAATGAGGACTAAAAGTTTGGAAACAAACTTAACTTTTAAAATTATCCCAGCCCCCACAAAACCTGTTTGAAATAAATCTGTCATGCACTGTTCAATGTTTTTTCAAAGTAGTAATGTTGATGCTTCGCAAATGTTATCATTTATGAGGGTAACGTGTATACAAATAATATACTAATTAGTATTAAATTACTACACAATATAATAATGTAAGGGCGATACCTTTTAGTTTAAAGGTGCAGTTATTCGGGCTATTTTAAACACAACAATGTTGATGAGATAACTTAAAATCGCACCGCCTCCACTCGCTAAGGCTATTTTCCTTTTTTTAAAGCTTATTATGTTATTATAAGACTTCTCTTTTTGGGCATAATTTTAATATGTCAAGAATCCAAGGGAAAGAAGCAATCTTTTGACTACGTTTCACATTACTTCCCCTAGACTGCTTACTTAACTGGACAGGTTTTCAAAGAATTACGTCCTTGAAAAATCAAAAAGCAAATTTATTCTACAATCTTTTACGCTGTTTCTTATTTTTCATTTCTTCTTTTATCTTTATATAGCTTACTACTTTTAGAGAAAAAAATTATTCAAGGCTAAAATTTAAATGTTAAGCCAAGTGAGTAACTAAAGAACGAACAACTTATGTAGACAAACAAGATTTATTTCTCACATTAAACTTGGCACATTGACTATGTACACACTTTTTTTATTATTTACATACTATGTACACACAACTCTACCACAAACTTGCACAAATTACATATTCCCCATGTATAACCATATTTTTCTACAACTAGGTTAAAGTTCAAGGGACACAATCCACCCTCATCTTTGTAAACAATATCAGAATAATTTATTTAATGTCCAAATAGTCTATCACAATGATTTGATTTACATTTCACTTTAAAAAATGTTCTCATTTTTCATTAGGTGTAGAGTTAATTATAAAGTATATTTTTTAAACATAAATATATACTAATTCATTAAGGTCAAGTAACATATTTTTTTTTCTCCCCACATTAGGCAAAGAACATGAACTCTCAGATAAAACACGCTAAACCCCAGCAGTTATCCTAGCAAGTATTTTATCCTGATCCACAGTCTCCAGAATGTGAGGAGCATTTATGAGAACACCCAGCGTTCCCCCTAGGGAGACCAAGACAAATATGATCATGAGCAGTCGGTCAAGGACGGCCGCCACGTACTTCCAGTCATCCAGAACCTGGGGGTCAACATATGTAAGAATATTTTTAAATATTTAAAAACAAACAATTTTTTTTAAAGAACATACAATTCTTTTCTACAAAAAATATTTGAGTTTTCATTTCAAACAAAAATAAATGTAAAAAATTAAAACACTATGTTGAACAATGATGAATCATATGATTTATGACTACCAGATGCTGCTGTATACATCTTATGAAATTTTCCGGTGTTAAATTCCTGAAAACCTGTTTAGCGATATTTGCAAATGTTTCTCAAGGGGTAGTCAGATTTTTTCACATCCAGAAATGTCCACCAATGGATTAATTTTGTTAAAATGTAGGCCTACTGTTATATATTTATATGTACTGGTTTGTACTAACTGACTGTAAAAATGTTTACATTCTAAATTTTGTTGCTATGATGAAAGATACATTAAATTTGTCTGCAAATTATGGGTAGTCAGTTCCGTTCTTCTTCTAGACTTTTTTCTAGGGGGGGGGGTGGCTCTTCCTGAGGAGATGCCTCGAAGAAACTCTGGGGGCAGTTATTGTACTCAATATTTGGCAAGTTTAAAACTTTTCCAATTATTATACAAACTGTTAATGACTAAACTTACAAAATTTACATCTTACGAATAGTTTAAAAAGTTGAAGCAAAAAAAAAATAAAATAGACCAACAATTAAAATCACTCACTGTGTTATAGTCCTCCTTATTTTGCATCTGCCTACATATAAATTTAATGGCATTGCTGGCACTGTAAATTTCTTTTGTTAGCACCAAGGGACTTAATCGCTGGGCAGCATGTAGTTTAGCCAACTCCAGACTTTTTCTCTCTGTCAGACTTTCCTCAGACTGGCTGGTACCTGAGTCCCTGAGCATGCACCTGTGGCTGGTGGAGGGGAAGTTGGACGCAACCAGGTCTCGCATTTCTAGAGTTGGACTCTCTGGACAAAAACATTCAAAAATAAAAAACAAAATCGTAAGTAAACATTTATTTCAACATGAAAGGTGTAGGTTTTTATCTATGTATTTAATTAAATTTAATTTAACTTTAACAACTAGGGAACGTATTAAGATATTTGTTCAGCTTGACAAACCTTCTGAAGACATGTGACTCCCCGAGGCTGAAGAAGATAAAGTCATACCACTAAAACCAGGAGAATGACTTTTGCTAAACTTTTGCCTCCAGGCTAAAACTCTTTCATGCTCCCTAAACAAAAATACATCATAAAATTTTTTAATAAATTACAAACAAATAATTGTTAAGTAACACTTAAGGGAGAAGTAATGTATAAATAGCTCTGTAACCAAAGCATAAACTATATATAGCTTTGCAAAATGATAATTATTTTATAAATAATAATGTAAATAAAACAAAAGTTGTAATTAGGAATGAAAACAAAATATAGTGTAAATGCATTATGTGTATTTATACAGCTAAATTAGTAATTATGATGTAACATGTACTTCTGCATCATTGCGAAGCAGAAATAAAAGATAGGTTTCAAAATGAAAAGTAAAATTTATCAGGTTCAACATTCTCATACTTTAAACTCTGATTGCTATTTCAATGTTTTAAATTCCTTACACACTATGTTGAGTTTTTAAATTCTCCATATTAATAAGCTTGTTAAGTTTATCGCCACATTAATTTTTTTTTATGTCCAAGGTTGTGACTTATTCCTTAGTTTAAAACATGACATAGATCAAAAGCAAGACAACAAGTAGGGTGAAAGTCCTTTTATTTCAGACCTGGAATCAGCACTAGTAGATGGAAGAAATGCTTGCTTCTGTCTTTTATGCTTGTTTTCAATGACAGGTGGGGTGAAAAAAACATTGGCTCTTGGAATCTGAAACATGTTAAAAATTCAAAAAGATAAATAAATCTTTAAAAAGTCAATAAGATAAATAAATCTTTAAAAAGTCAATAAGATAAATAAATCTTTAAAAAGTCAATAAGATAAATAAATCTTTAAAAAATCTGTTGAAAACTTTCTTAGAACATTTAGACAAAAAGATGTAACGTTATTTTTCACTGAATTAATTTAAGAAACAATTTTTTTTTTAAAGTGGAGTTATCACCCAGTTAATAGTTTTCTTACTTAATCTGCTACATAAAATCCATTGTAGATTAAATTATAAAATCAACATTTAAAATCTGTAAGAAAATCCTGGCTTACTTGCGGAGTATTAGGGTAGGAAGGGGGAGGGGCACAGCTCTTCTCTTGCCACCTGTTGTCATGGTCTGGACGCTCCATTAGCAGGTACTTTGGTAGTCTGCAACATAATCCACTTTTTTAATTTTAAACTTTAGTAAACTTAATTTAAAGTCTGCAACATAATGCACTTCTTTTATTTTAAACTTTAGTAAACTTAATTTAAAATCTGAAACATAATGCACTTCTTTAATTTTAAACTTTAGTAAACTTAATTTATAGTCTGAAACATAATGCACTTCTTTAATTTTAAACTTTAGTAAACTTTATTTAAAGTCTGAAGCATAATGTGTCTCTTTAATTTTAAACTTTAGTAAACTTAATTTATAGTCTGAAACATAATGTACTTCTTTAATTTTAAACTTTGGTAAACTTAATTTTAAGTCTGAAACATAATCCACTTAAATTTTGAATTTTAAACTTTGGTAAACTTAATTTATAGTCTGAAACATAATGCACTTCTTTAATTTTAAACTTAAGTAAACTTAATTTATAGCTTGAAACATAATGCACCTCTTTAATTTTAAAGTTTAGTGAAAGTAATTTACAATTTGACTTTCTATTAGTAAATAATTTTTTTTTAAACAAATGATTTCTTTTAGCATTAGTTATTTAATGAATCAGTTTTCTTTCTTAAAAGTAAAATGAATTACAAAAAAAAAATTTTCATCAATTTTAAGATTAACTTGGAAATAATAAAACAATATTGTATAGATTTTTTTTATAAAAACCTAAAATAATTATTTTGTAAACAACAGTTAAAATAACTATTCATGTTAACTTACTTGTACAAAAATAGCCAACAGACCCATTTAGGCATAACAGCAGTGCGAGGTGTCTTATGATTAGCAAAAATAATTAGAACAGTCACCAATATTTCCAGAACATTCATCATAAATGTAAAAATAAAATATTTGGCTATCAATGGAATTGTCATTGATGGTGGCAATATCTGAAAAACAGAAAATTAAGTTCAGTCTATGATTTTAAAAAATCTAAGCTACTTTTGAAATAATGCTCACTAGTCAAATTGTAGTAGTAGGTTACATAAAACGGCTAAATATAGAGTAGAAGAATAGACCTATTGCTTTTAACTGAATTATTTTCATATTTTAGTTTTAAAATGTTTGTGATAAGAAACCTGGCCAGCAGGGTGGCAGCTTGCAGGAAAACAATGGCTGATCTTACAAACCTATCAAAGTAATTATTCAATAGCCAATTGGATGGACTAATGATCTTTTTAAAATTTTAATTAAAGAATTGTATCAATAGTTTACATAATAACATTTATGTCTATATTGGGAGGGGGGATTAAAAAATGATGTTACATTTTAAAAAAAAAAAAAACGATTTTGATCTTCCCCTTGCCATCGTCACAAAAAATCTTACCCACCCCCTCACCATACACATCTAAATGATGCCACAACTCAGCCTAGAACCTGCCCCCTTAAAATTAAAGTTTTTTTTTTAAAATAATCGATTTCTTTCTCAAATATTTTCTTAGCTCTGTCAACATTTGAGTAGGCTAAATCAATCAATTTCTATTACAAAAACAGCCTTCTAAAAACAAGAAATTACGGCTTAAATTCAGTTTCTACTATAGTTTTTTACACTTTTAAAATAGAAATGTGTACAGTGTTTCTTCTGGGCATCTCTCCCAAAGAAAGTTTATTGCTTCCCCCCCCCCGCGGAATTTATATGGAAAATAAATACTTTTAACAGTATCCGACCCCCCCCCCCCCCCCCCCCGAAAGTTTCAAGTGCGCCCTCCACCCCATGGGGAGAAAAACACTGAGTGTGTATCATCACATTTTCTAATCCCTCTCGTAACAAAACTCCTACTCCCCTCCCCCCTCTACTCCCCCTATAAGTGTGATGTTTATAGACTACCGCATGGACTATGTTTTTAAAAGCAAGAAAATAAGCAAGTTAAAAAAAAAACTTACTTTTTGTAACAAGAGCAGAAACACAACCAACGACACAAGTACTGAAATAACAAGAGTTATCTTCTCTGATCCGTCTGCCGGAAGCACAAAGACACACAGACAGACGAGAGCGTGTAGAAAGCAGGGTATGATGAGATTGACCGTGTAGAACAGGGTTTTACGGCGTATCACAAGTTTAAAGACTATGATCTCCTTTTCCTGAAATAGTAAAACATTGCTGCAATAATAAACCAACAATAAGTTTTGTAGCATAGGGTCTTTTCCACATAAGCCCCTCCACTAATGCAAAGTGCATGCGCGAAATGTTAAGACCCGATACTTTTAGCCAGTTCCAATTTAATGCATGCACGTAACCTTGAGGGTTAGGGTTACAGGTACCGAAATACAGACCATTTCATGCAAATTATTAATGACATGATCAATTTTACTCTTCAATAAAAACTAAAAGTATGTTTCATATCCTGTATTTTATAATCTTTTTTGGGTGGCGGGTATTAACCATTTGGCGAGGCTTATCGGGAAAGATCTTTGGCATATATAATAATCAGTATACAACAGAGGCTTAGCCGAGGGGGGGGGGGGGGGGCGGGGGTGTTAGGTGTTGTCTTACAGTGACAGCTTTTATCGCTTGTTGGATGGTTGGATTGTATCGCTTTTAGTAAATAAAAAAAAATTGATTGTCATTTAAATAGTAGTTTCACTCTTAAAAGCCTTATGGAATATAGGCCAATATATAGACCAATTCCAGCCTACGCCACTAAAATACAAAAAGGCCAAGCATAAGGTGGGGGGGGGGGGTCGTGCGCCCCTACCCAGATATAGGTCTATAACAAACGGACAAATCACTGCCCTTCTCATTTTGTGTTATATTCAATAGTATGTGCACCATTGCATTGTCTTTAAAAAAAGAACTATTTAAATTTGGCACTTAGACTTAATCTGGCATTAATTAATTTTCATTTTCACGTGTTTTTAATTTGTAATTCTTTTTAATGATATTTTATGTTGCGCTGCTGTTTAGCCTGTTTTTTTTTTGGCCACAACTCTCGTGTTGAGCAACATAACTACAGTTTTACCTGGCCAGTGATGGAGTCTCGAGTGTGCGAGATGTGACCAGGGCAATCGATGATATCCCACGCCCCATTTTTCATGTAGTCCGTCAGATCCAGCATATTGCTGCCCTGAAACTGGTAGACCAGTGTCTTGCCTTCAAACGTCCATGACCCAAATTTCATGTCACACTCCTGGAATAGTTTTAGTTATATGCCTTTAAAATTAATGCACTCATTTTTTTAAAAAAATCAACAATACAAAACAAAGATGACTAATTAACGTTAGAAAACGTGTAAGGGGAGATAAATTTGGAGCGATTTTCGGAGAGGACAGTTCGGGACGCAAGTGTCATCGTTGACGTATGAAGTCGGGGAAAAATGTGTGTATTTTAAAATAAACGAGCCGACCCGCGGCGTATTACGCGCCGCTATTTAGTTTTATTTTCTACTTTTCAGTAATTCATAATTTGTGAATTCGACAGTACCAATGTTGTCACTGAAAATATTTTCTTTAAAACATTAAAACCCTCCTCCTCCTCCCCCCCCCCCATGAAAGCAGCATCCTCTTAGTTACCTCCCCTAAGTTTAAAATAGTTTCAAACTAAATTGTCTGCCCCTAATAGGCGACACTAAACCCGGCTCTACGATTGTAAAATTTTAGCGTGAACCACAACTCACAAGACCATGTGGGGGTGGTTGCTATATGCTTAGAGAGGAAGAGAGGGGACTGCTAGGCGCCCTATTACAGCTAGGTGTTTTCTAATGTCTCCAAGAAGAGAATTATATATAGATACTTCATCTAATGATAACAGTTGTTACGTCAACTACGGGAGTAATTAACTTAATACTTCATTGGTAATCACACTTTTTAACAATGTATACTGGTGCATAGCTTAAAACATTTTGTAGTTTTTAAACACGTGAGAAATTGAACACATAATAGGAATAAAGGAAACGAGATTTAACCCGGTAGCCATTTTATATTACACGCCTCAAAACATTTTAAAGGAAACTAATTAAATTTGATAACTGAACTTTGTATCAAATAAAAAGTGAAGTTTTTTAATGGTTTGTGTTTAAAAAGTGACTCCCGAATATGAGGAGATTGAATTGTTAAGCTTAATGTTTCTAAATTTTAAAATGTATTAATGAGTACATTACGCAGAGCTTATAATACTGTTAGATTTATAGAAATATCAACTTGTTTTAGTCGATATATTTCGTAAAGCGTCTTATTTTTGTTCCCTTACCTGTTGATCAAAGGGAAAATACTCCACATCAATGGAACACGAACTTGTGTAGATAGCAGGGGGGATAAACTTGACGTTCCCGGTTGAGTCCAGAACACAGTTGGGATTATACGAGGGCTCAAATTTCCCATCCGCACTGACACCATTTTTTTAATTGGAAAAAAAAATTGTTTTGTAAAATCAGAAATATATTTTTTTCTTCTTCAGGATATTGATTTTCTGTCAAGTCTTAAAGTATGGACAAAATAACAGCCCTCTTGTAGGACAAAATAACAGTCCTCTTGTAGGACAAAATAACAGTCCTCTTGTAGGACAAAATAACAGTCCTCTTGTAAAATTAATTAAGGTTTGTATAAAGTGTGGCAGCATTAATTGTGTGTTGAATGGCTAGGCCTTGAGCATAGGACAACATGAGTTAGTTTAAGAAGGATCGAGATCTATATATGATCTATGTATAAGTAAACTATCTTAAATGAATGAAAGCAGGCTACAAGTAAGAAAGAAATATTACTATTGTAAATCTGTATCAGTCCTCACAAGCCGATGATGAAAACTATAATACTAAAGCGAACACACAACTGACGCTATAAATTACGTGTCTGAGGCAGAAAAGAAAGTTTAAGAAGGATCGTGTATAGCGCATGTGCTGAAGTGTTAAACTCCATTGCTAAACTTTCATGTTGCATATCACCCAATAATTATGCTAAACTCACATGTGAAACCACACTATCAATATGTTAAACCGCAGTATACGTGAGTTAAACTCTGTTGTTCTACAAGTCATTAAATGCGTTAAAATCAGCTCTTAATCCGCCAATTAAAGGTGTTAAGCTCACTTGTTAAACCACACACCTAATGAGTTAAACTCTATTTTTCAACCACCCATTGAAGTTGTTAAACTAACGTGTTAAACCACCCATTGAAGGTGTTAAACTAACGTGTTAAACCACCAATTAAAGGCGTTAAACCCCCGTGTTAAACCACCAATTAAAGGCGTTAAACCCCCGTGTTAAACCACCAATTAAAGGCGCTAAACCGACGTGTTAAACCACCAATTAAAGACGTTAAACTCACTTGTTGAACAAGACGACGTCAGGTACCCAGATGTGTTTGTTGTCGATCTTGATCTGTGTGATGTTGCCGTAGTCTTGTGGCTCCCAGACTAGTTGGTAGTCGTGCCAATACTAGAGGGACAAACATGTGCCAATACTAGAGGGACAAACATGTGCCAGTACTAGAGGGACAAACAGTACAAACATGTGCCAATACTAGAGGGACAAACATGTGCCAGTACTAGAGGGACAAACATGTGCCAGTACAAACATGTGCCAGTACTAGAGGGACAAACAGTACAAACATGTGCCAGTACTAGAGGGACAAACATGTGCCAGTACTAGAGGGACAAACATGTGCCAGTACTAGAGGGACAAACATGTGCCAATACTAGAGGGACAAACATGTGCCAATACAAACATGTGCCAGTACTAGAGGGACAAACATGTGCCAATACAAACATGTGCCAGTACTAGAGGGACAAACATGTGCCAATACTAGAGGGACAAACATGTGCCAGTACTAGAGGGACAAACATGTGCCAGTAGTAGAGGGACAAACATGTGCCAGTAGTAGAGGGACAAACATGTGCCAGTACTAGAGGGACAAACATGTGCCAGTACTAGAGGGACAAACATGTGCCAGTACAAACATGTGCCAATACTAGAGGGACAAACATGTGCCAGTACAAACATGTGCCAGTACTAGAGGGACAAACATGTGCCAATACTAGAGGGACAAACATGTGCCAGTAGTAGAGGGACAAACATGTGCCAGTACTAGAGGGACAAACATGTGCCAATACTAGAGGGACAAACATGTGCCAGTACAAACATGTGCCAGTACTAGAGGGACAAACATGTGCCAATACTAGAGGGACAAACATGTGCCAGTACTAGAGGGACAAACATGTGCCAATACAAACATGTGCCAGTACTAGAGGGACAAACATGTGCCAGTACTAGAGGGACAAACATGTGCCAGTACTAGAGGGACAAACATGTGCCAATACTAGAGGGACAAACATGTGCCAATACTAGCATGTGCCAGTACTAGAGGGACAAACATGTGCCAGTACTAGAGGGACAAACATGTGCCAGTACTAGAGGGACAAACATGTGCCAGTAGTAGAGGGAAAAACATGTGCCAATACTAGCATGTGCCAGTACTAGAGGGACAAACATGTGCCAATACTAGAGGGACAAACATGTGCCAGTACAAACATGTGCCAGTACTAGAGGGACAAACATGTGCCAGTACAAACATGTGCCAGTACTAGAGGGACAAACATGTGCCAATACTAGAGGGACAAACATGTGCCAGTACTAGAGGGACAAACATGTGCCAGTACTAGAGGGACAAACATGTGCCAATACTAGAAGGACAAACATGTGCCAGTACAAACATGTGCCAACACAAACATGTGCCAGTACAAACATGTGCCAGAACTAGAGGGACAAACATGCGCCAGTACTAGAGGGACAAACATGTGCCAGTACTAGAGGGACAAACATGTGCCAGTACTAGAGGGACAAACATGTGCCAATACTAGAGGCACAAACATGTGCCAATACTAGAGGGACAAACATGTGCCAATACAAACATGTGCCAGTACTAGAGGGACAAACATGTGCCAATACAAACATGTGCCAGTACTAGAGGGACAAACATGTGCCAATACTAGAGGGACAAACATGTGCCAATACTAGAGGGACAAACATGTGCCAGTACTAGAGGGACAAACATGTGCCAAAACTAGAGGGACAAACATGTGCCAATACTAGAGGGACAAACATGTGCCAGTACAAACATGTGCCAGTACTAGAGGGACAAACATTTGCCAATACTAGAGGGACAAACATGTGCCAGTACTAGAGGGACAAACATGTGCCAATACTAGAGGGACAAACATGTGCCAGTACTAGAGGGACAAACATGTGCCAGTACAAACATGTGCCAGTACAAACATGTGCCAATACAAACATGTGCCAATACTAGTGGGACAAACATGTACCAGTACAAACATGGCCAGTACTAGAGAAACAAACTTGTGCAAGTACAAACGTGTGCCAGTACTAGGATTTAAATACTGTATAGCGTTTATATATATATGTATAATATATATATATATATATATATATATATATATATATATATATATATATATAATATATGTACATCTATACATAGAGATCGGCTACTTATGTGTCTGTAAAATCAATTATCCATTCATTCCACAGTTTCTTTATCATTGGATATGCCTGGGTAGAGTGGTCAGTACTCCACCAAGCCACCTTTCACAGACTTGTTAGGAAGGCCCTGATCTGGTAGTGGACTCAGGCCTCATGGACGTCTTTTTTCTCTTAAAGACATGAGACGGTCAGTCCGTTGTAAGTATCGCAGCTCAACGATCAACATTCCGATAACGGTGATTAAGTTACTGGCCAGTAATGGCTTTTTGGCCCATCTTCATCTTAAAGACTTAAGGGCTCATATGAACCTCTATTAACATACAGTAAAAGCTAGATCAGTTGATCAGTAAATGTACTAATTGAACGGTTAAGGGTCAAGTGAAAAAAGGTCAAGGGAAATGTTCACAGGTGAAATGTCAAGTTTACAGGTCGATGGTCAAGTGACAAGTCTAAAGGTCGCAGGTCGACACACAAGTTTACAGGTTGAAGGTAAAGTGATAAGTTTTCACATGTCGACACAAGTTCACACACCGGACTTCAATAATCAGACATTACACAGACCAACCTCACGGAGAGAGTGCACGCATTGTCTTATTGATTTGTGGATCGCCTATTAGGAAATCTTGTCTGGAAATCTTTTTTTTTTTTATTGACACTTAACTTCCGAAAAATTGTATTTGGTCTGTTCGTGTTTTCAACAAAGTTTGAAGTAAAATGTGCACACCTAGAACTAATGAAGTAATTGTTTTTCTTAACAAAACTTTAAAAGCATATTTTTTATTACGGTGCTAAAAGGGTATAATTTTTATGCAAATGTCTTTTTATTTATATTATCTTTACTGAGGGGTGGGCGAGGGATAAAATGGATGTGTTACAGGGATTTTTACAAGCAACTATAAGACTATATACATATATATATATATATATATATATATATATATATATATATATATATATATATATATATATATATATACATATATATATACATATATATATATATATATATATATATATATATATATATATATATATATATATACATATATATATATATGTAGCTAGGGTGGGCCTAACTACTAGTTACAAATCTGATAACGAACGAGAAGCCGAGACGCAGTATTGGTCTGATGCAACCGATAACAGGTGGCTTATTGGGTCGGGCTGATAACAATCTCAAAGCCAACGCGTGCTATTTTGGGAAACGGTACGAGGAGTGAGACGGCCTGTCAACTTTGATTGATAGGATGCAGATGTTATTTCACGGACTGTACGTAGAACTACGCAACTGGTGGTCGGAGACATCGAGTACAAGTATCGATTACGGAGGAATACAAGTACGGAGACGAGTACGGATACAAGGCATAAATAGGAGGGGACGACTGAACTCGCTCTCTTACTCTCTTCCCGTTAGCGAGCTCTTCCGTCGTCGTCGCTCGCTTTAGATCAGTCAGTCTGTGTGACATACTCAAGTTGGTTATATTGTGTTAAGAAGGACAATAGACATGTGGATTCAGTTATATGAAGCCTAGTGAGGACTGTTAGGGGGTCAGTTGATTCAGACTATTATTGTGAAACATTTCTGTTGATTCATTGTGTTATATTGAAGCATTTCTTGATTCATGTAATAAAAGGATCAATAGCGAACCTGCATCTTCGAGTCTTTCTACTGTGGTCGATGTTGTGTAGCATGAGTGGTTCAACTCGTTACAATTGGCGTTGTCGGGCAGGATAGACTCGGGGAAGGTCACATTTGGCGTTGCGAACAGGAAAGATGCAACTAGCCTAGGTCACATTTGGCGTTGTCGAACAGGATGAATTCAACTAGACTTGCCGATTTAGGCACCCACAGTCAACCTTGTGCATAACTGTGTTTTGTGTGTATGTGAATTCGGACATTCAGGAACTGTGAAAATTGAGGAAAATTTTTTCATACACACACGGTAAGAAAGAACTCTTTTGTTTTACTTACGGGATAAAATGTCTACTCTGGACGAGAAGCAGACCCATATAGTGGTCCTACCCAGAGAGTCCCACATTAACAAATTTTACGGGGACGGTGATCCCACTTTAACCAACAGGTTCAGTGAAGAGGTCAAAGCGGCCTGGGCCTCGAGAGGCATGTCACCAGAGGAAAGATTAAGACTGCTGATGGGCAGCATAGGAGAGACGGTTAGGGCAGAGGTCAAATGCCACGATAAAACCATCCAATCAGATCCGGATAAGGTGCTGGATCTGATTATGGAGACCTTTGGGGAGAGACGGTCGGGATCGCAACTGCTAGCAGGGTTCGTAGGCTTGAGGCAGAGATTGGCGGAGAGTGTGATGGAGTACTCACACCGGATGAATAGGGCCTTTGATTCGGTAAAGGTCAAAACACCGGACATTGACGTACGCCTACTGAGGGACCATTTCATTGAGGGGCTGGCAACCCCGATCCTAAGAAGAGAGTTGAAAGAGGAGGTCCACAAAGAACCGCAGTTGACCTTCCTTCAGGTCAGGAACTCAGCGATCCGCAGGTCCGAGGATGAGGACCAATCGAACTGTTCGGTGGACAAAGTCTCTGTGCCTGAACAGAGACAATCCCCACCCACAGGGGCCGACACGATGGAGACCATGATGGCTCAACTGTTGGCCCACCTAGATAAGGTTGACCAACGTTTGGAGAGGTTAGAAAGCAGGTCAACAGCTGAGAATCGGGAAAAGAACGGGACAAAACAGGGACGGGTTGGACGGCCGCGTCCTGCCAAGCCATCACTCCAATGGACGGCCGACGGTCGACCAATTTGTTTGTCTTGTTCACAACCCGGACATATGGCACGGTACTGCCAGGGAAACGGTCGTCCTCTGTAAGGCAGGGCCAGGCTACAGAGGGGCGAGGGTATGGCCCAAGAAGCAAAATGATGGGAGTCTGTCCCGAAATGGTGATTACGATTGGG